TTCCTGCTGGTGAAGTGGAGTGGGTCTACGGCAGGCTCAAGGCACTCTGTCCCGTGTAAAGACGCTATGGTTTTGTTCCAGAGCAGCAATTGTCAGAATCTTAATCACAGATGGCTTGCTATTGGCCTGAAGCAAACAAAGGCAGTTCATGTGGTAGAAGGAGTGTGATGATCTAATTAGTTGGCTTTCATTGGGTTTGGTGAGACAGAATTAGTGTGCAGCACGAAACCTCTCAGAAAGAGCTGTGATGTTAATCTTGTCAGACCTCTTGCCCTAGAAGGGAGAACTTGTCCTTGATTCCAGCCTGGTATTGTTCCATCCTAACGTTCAGATCAAGATACACAGATTGATTCAGCCCCACAGTAATGAGGAAAGATATGTGGAAATTCCTTTGGGAAATGGATGAGCTATGCATAAGAATTGCCACTACCTTTGCATCTCTGTTGGGTTACTACTCGTATCTAGCTCCTTGACTTGCCTTTAAGAAGTGTGGATTTAGTTGCCTTTTATACATCACTTTTCTGTATGTCTTTCCTGTGTCTGTTCATGTTCTGTGTGTTGATAAAGGACTGATGAATATTTTTAATAAGCTACAAAAATGTTGCGAGGTGTCATTTTTCTCTCTCTTTTTTTAAACCCAGTGTTGACAAGGCAACGAAATCACAAATAAGCTTAAGCTTTCTGTAGCTTTTACCACATCCTTTGAAGAATGATTGAACCGCATTGCTTAATCATTATTTTCCCTTTTGATGCATCCCATTGCATAAGGCCGGTGTGGTCTGAGGATTATCATCTCACGTGTATGCCAAAATTTGGTCCAAGCTTCCCTCTGATTTTGTAGTCCTTACTCTCTTCTTTCCTCTAGCAAAAGAAATACCTTTTTGATGTTCCTCTGGATTTTGTTGCAGAAATTAAGATTGCATGTTCCAATGTTGCATGGAGATACAAACAAAATAGCTTCGCTTCACTGGAGTCTGTGTTGAGACCTGATTAGGAAAGACAACTGTGTACAAGAATCTTGGAGCCTGTTGTGTTAAGACAACATGTTAGTGAATGTTTCTGACTTAGAAAGCTCAGGAGGATTATTACCTGTATTTCTGTCCAGCTTTGTCAATCTTCCTCAGCTTAATGTCTAGATTAAAAAACAAACAAAAAACCAAAAAACTTTGGGTAGGCAACTCAATTCCTTGCCTAATGGGAATCCTTCAGCTGATGATTGTGGACCCTCTTTAGGTGTGTGTGAGTAGAGACCTTGAGGTGATTCTTGGTGAAACTTTGCTCACAGGTACCAGTTCTTTGAGTGTCACCTCTCGTGGTCTCCCCATCGTATTTGTGGGGCTCTGAAAGTAACGGGAAGGAACAAAGATAAATGTGTTCTTTCATCTCTCAAACAAGCTTGTTTCTGGATAACAGTGCCACAAGAGGGTGCTTGTGAAACCCGCAGGGCCCTGTTATTTGGGAGGCTTTTATGCCAGCTTGCTGGCATTCGAGAGTTAATAGGTTGAAGCAATGGTCTTCAGGAATTAGTTGTAGCCAAGTGATCTTTTGTTTTATGAAGATGCTGGAAGAGCTGTGGTGAGCCACAGTAGCATGTCTGTGATTAGTAAAATACAGCAGAGCTTTGGAGATTGGAAACCACGATTCTCTGAGAATGTCACTGCCTCGCTTGGAAATGCCCAGTGGTGGGTATTAATACCTTTTTTCCTGTTGCCTCATTGTTTTGGACTCTTCTCTCTTCTGTAAAGTCAATTCGCAGGTGGTTCTGCTGCAGTATGCTCCACTGCAAGAACTCACAGCTGATGCAAACACAGCTACCTGTCTGTAGCCTCGGTTGGTCTGAAACTCTCTACTCAATGCACTGCTTTCTTCTTGTCAAATGCCTTATGTTGTCAGAGGAGGAATGCAGAAGGGCAGAGGGAGTTTCACTGGATGAAATTTGCCTGCAGAACTTGCACTGTACTAAAGGCAGAGTGAAAAACATGCAGGAGCATCAGGAGTTTGGGGGGATGTTGGAGTTGGCATGAGGGAGAGGCAGGTGAAATGTGGATATTTGGATGATATGAAACATCTGAACCCGGTGCCAGTAGAGCTCATGGAGTCCTTACCAACCAAAAGAGCAGCTCATCACAATGGGACTGATCTCAGGCTTGACTTTCCTTGGACTGGCGTTGCATGACCTTGCTGTTCTCTGCTCCCAGTTTCCCTCTGTGCTTGCTCTTCTAGCTGTTGAAGCCTGACGGTCACCTTCATAACAATTTACCCCCTTGTTGTTTTCCCCTCCTTACAAAATTTCTTGGGGAAAGAAATATAAAACAGTAAAAGTGACTGTTTTTTTGCCATGTGTCTCCATGTTTTATGATTTGCATCCATTATCTGCATTTGTGCAAAGGCTGTCATATTTTTGCATGTAACATGATGGGCTGTGATTCTGTATTTTTAGATGCTATAGTAATGCAAGTGATGTCTAGGCAAGCTTATGGATTAAAGCTGAAGAGATGTTTGCAACAAGGTTAGCTGTTTAGTTACCTACAACAACAGATTTTATTTTTTTGAATCTTCTAAAGCATTGCCATTGCTATAAAGCTCCCAAACCCAAATATCTTCACAGCTTTGTGTCCAAATAGTTCTTTCATTTACCAGTGAGGGGTGGGGAAGAACAACCTTTTCTGCAGCCAACCTGCCCTGCCTCTTATCTCATCCAGTCTTCAAGACTGGTATTGACTGTTGAACTCTTGAAATTGTGGTAGTTGTTGTTCTAAATGGCAAACTGTCATTTACTCCAACCATGAATTGAGGAAAAAATAATTGAAGCATCCCTCAGAAGTACCAGTTCAAGGCGGGGAAAAAAGGGCTTCAAGCTTTGCAGTCTCTTTCACATCAAAGCTAGGATCTTTTGAGGCTTTGTACATCAAAATTATTCTTAATGCGTTATTTAGGCCCCTCAGCCCCTTTGCTGAGTCATAAGGGGAAATGGAATACAATCATGGAGTAGTTTGGTTTGGAAGGGACCTTTTGTGTTTAAACACAAAACCCCTGAAAACGGGCTTCAACTTATATGGCAAGTAGCCCCTTCCAGTGCTGGAATATTGGTTCAGCAAACACCTGCTAGAGCTGTCTCCTGTTCTGTCTGCAGGCTGTCTCCCAACACCATGGTGACGCCCCACAAGAAGAGCATGCTGGGAAACGGAAACTATGATGTGAACGTGATTATGGCAGCGCTTCAGACCAAAGGCTATGAGGCAGTTTGGTGGGACAAGCGCAGGTACTGAGAAGCTGTGTAATTCTGGAGGTGGCTGCTGTTTGTAAAAACGAGAAAGAGATGAAGTATCAGAATATATCTTATCACTGTCTTTTCTGCGCTCTTTCAGGGATGTTAATCTCATTGCCCTGTCTAACGTGATGGGCTTCATCATGAATCTGCCCTCTAGCCTTTGCTGGGGCCCCTTGAAGCTCCCCCTCAAGCGACAGCACTGGATCTGCGTCCGGGAGGTGGGAGGCACCTACTACAACCTCGACTCCAAACTCAAGGTGCCCGAGTGGATTGGAGGTGAAAGTGAGCTCAGGTGGGACTTTCTGTATTCTGTTCCTCCTCAAATTCTTCCCTGTTGGTTGTGGGGAATCTGCCATTAAAAAATTAGCGGTTGAAACTTTTATGGCTGAACTTCAATAGCAAAGATTTGAGAGTAATAAAGTTGTTGTGCCTCCACTTAGATTTATACCCTGTTTGCACGAAGCTAGGAAAATGCTTTTGCCAGTGGTGATCTCTGTGAGCTCGACGGAGCCCGGCTTTGTCTCTTACATGGGTGGCTTTGTCACTAGTAGTAAAGGTAGAGGCCAGCTCTGGTATTAGTGACACATGCAATGAGATGTGCTGTGCCTCAGCCTCTCCTCAGATGTGAGAGTATCAGCATTCCTTTGCCTCTTTCATAGCAACCTGTGTGCTTGTTGCCAACAAAAGGCTTTCCAGATTAGAAGCACAGCCTTAGTCCTGACAGCAGTGAAAGCTGCTTGCAGGGAGTCACCTGCCTATGTAAGCCAATGCTGTGCTTCTGGCTTGACTCCCCTCTTCAACCTTAACACAAGACAGTTGGTGTAATTGCTGTGACTGTAAAGTCTCACATGCTCTTGTTGCCATTCAGCTTCCCTTCCATCCCATTCTAAAGCCTACTAGCAGCTTTGCTGCCTCAGCTAGACTTGTTCTGAGGTAGGGATTGAACGTGAGCAGTATTTGCAGAGCTTACCGTGCCACTGTCGTCTTGGTAAAGTGAATGTCAGCCTTTTGTGAACTTCTGGGATAAGGTAACGCAGGTCTGGAACTGCTGCACAGAGCTTCTGGTCGATTTTATCCTGGGTGTGCCATTCTTCAGCAATAAGTAAGGGCTCCTATATAGGAAATTTTGGAAATCTGGGCTGAAAGATATCAGAGAAAACATTGATTTGACTTTCATAGTTATTGGAGATAATCCAAGTTTGGTATTAGAAAAACCTTATGGGCAGAAATAGGCTACAGCACCATATCAAATGACCAGGTGGTACACTGTTCCTACAACCTGTGATAAGGACATCTAAATGACTGGGGTTTTCTTCCACAAGTATTCCAGATTTGTTGGAATTATTTTAAAATACAGTGGGATTCTTGATCTCGGAGATCTAAAGAAACCAAACTTAGTTTTAATTCTGTTTTTACCACCTTGGAAAGTTGGAAAGTGGTATCTATATAGACCTCTCTGAGGTTAAGATCATGTTTATCTGATTCTGCAATAACTTGCTGGGTTAGAGATGTATTGAGTCTCATGGGGCAAGTTTAATATTGGGCTTTTTTTCTTTTTTGTCAGAAAGTAACTAAAGACAGTGTGTGTGGGTTTCCCAGACATTTCTTGTGATGTTTGCAGAGTTAGCTGCGTTTAGAGGTTGTAGAAGACAACAAAGTTCTACATCTAGTAGTGTTTATTTCTGTTTCTCTTTATGATAGGAAATTTTTGAAACACCAGCTGAGAGGAAAGAACTGTGAACTCCTGCTGGTGGTGCCAGAGGAGGTGGAAGCACATCAGACCTGGAGAGCTGACGTGTGACCTGGACTGACTGTCTTCCCACTACAGCTCTTCCCCTTTACTGAACTCCCGATGTCCTGAAACCTGGATGATGGGTGCCCTGACTCTTCTCATCTGGAACTTCCTTTGTTAGGCTTTTCTCTTCCTTTCTTGGTGCAATAGGGCAATGGCATAGGACATGGAGGCGGGGGCGTAAAGAATTGAGGGCAGAGTGGAGGAAACTGGAAGCCAATCACTTTAATTGCAAAGGCGGATGAGCAGCGTGCCCTTCAGCTATCCGGAGGGTGTTGCGCTCTTTAAAACTGGGCTTTGGGGCTGAGGTGTCTGGAAGCCTCTGGCCTCCCTTTCCCCACATTGGCCAAGGCCACGTGTAGGTGGGACACTGCTCTCTCCGAGGCTTGCCGGGGAAGAGCAGGGCCCAAGCACGCTGCCGCCTTTTCACAAGTCTCGCCCTCCAAAACAAGTCGTCTTGAAGACATTTGCAATTCCTAAGGGTCTCTCAGGACACTCTCAAACACTAGGAATGGTACGGTGCTCAGCACAACCCTCTGCTGCTTAGGGTTGGTTTGTGCCAGGGATGAGAAAACAGTAATAAAAACAGTGTCATCTTTCAAGAAATTCTTCGGGTAGCTAGAGGATTCTTCCCCAGTGTCTCCAGGGATTTATGTATGTGGTGAGCGGTTGTTTGGCAGCATACGGCTGGCTGAGGAGACGTGGAAACACCAGGCACAGGCTAATTGAGGAGTATCGAGTTTCTGAATTGGAGAGAGGCTGTAGTCTGCTTGGGTTTTCTTTGTGCTATGTTGTTGGTTTTTTTTCTTTTTTAATACCTATTTTGGTTTTCTGCACAGTCACTCGGTAGTTTAGGAGCTGCTTGGAGAGAGGAATAAAAGTGAAGGGGTTTTTGAGAGGAATTCATTCCATTTTATTTTCATCTTTCCAGAAGTCTAGCCCGCAGCAGCGAATGTCATGCGAAATGTCCCAGAAAGAGGTAAAGTTACAAACCAAAAAACTGGCTAAGGAGGGAAGCCTTTGTAATAGTCAGTTTTTGCCCTCTTTATAGTTACTAGCTGATAATGTGGGAGATGCAGGGGGTCCACCAGAACCTTTGGGCGTTAGTGACCCTCGCCTGGTAGCTGAACCAACCTCTCTTTCAGTGTTGGCTGACAAACATTCTGTTAATGGATGAATTGCTTTTTCCTCCCCTCTCTTCCTTGGGGAAGAATGACTAGATGTGGAGACGCCAAGAGGAATCTCCAGCAGCTGCTTCCCAGTCACCTGGGTGAGCTGTAGCTCAGTCATGCCTTCCACAGCAGCAGGGGGAAACGCTGCACTTGGGACCAACTTTGTTGCATTTAGCTCTTCCTGGCCGAGTTGCCGTTTGCTTCCCTCCTTTTTGCATGGGATGTTTCGGTTGAAGAGCAATCTGGGATGTGATGAAGCTTGAAGGATCCTGCTCCATCGTGCAGGGAAGTCTCGTTACTGGTGTTTGAGCTTGCAAAAGGAGGGGTTGTAACTACCTTTTCTCAGTTACTTTTTTCTCTTGAGAGCTCTGCAAGCGCATGAGCAGGTGCTCGAAGCTGAGAGACCACCAAAATCACACCTTCCTAACCGTGAACGGAGGCCACATGAGGACAGGACAGTGCTGTTCACCAATCCCTGGGCATCCGGCAAGCGCCATTTTGCAGTTTTTTGAGCACAGCCTCCCACAGCCAAGGGCAAATGGCTCTTTATGTTTTAAAAACCCAACGTTTCTATAAAAAGTCCTATTTTGTAACACATTCCAATGACCAATACCAGCTGGCAGAGTTTTTAAACACTTTACAGGCAGGGTGCACAGCCTGCAGCCATTCTGCTTGTGACTTGAAGCCATTTCTTCAAGAGGGTGGGGAAAAAAAAAAAATCTCAACAGCAACATTTTCTATGCTGATTGAAGTCGCACTTTGGAGAAACCCTGTTTGCATGGAAACCGCAAGCCAACGGATCAGTGCACAATATGCAAAGATGTTTTAAAATATTTTGGGACTATGTTCCTCTCCTTATATGTCAGCTCCTTTGCTGTGGGGTGGAGGGGAACAGTGTGATCCAGCCGCTCAGGTAAAGTGTAGGATCACACCCCTGGGGAGGTGAGGCAGCTGTGCCCAAGAGGGTGGGCGAGCTCATCCGGTCCCACTGCTTGGGAGTGGGGAAACCCGTAGGTTTTTTTCTTGCTTGTTTGGTTTTTGTTAGAGCCTTGTCTTGGGTTTGTTTACAGAGATGTATTTTGTTTAACCAAATATTAAAAATGGAGGGGAAAAAAAACCATTTCCATATAAATGTCCTATCACTTCTGTACGTTGAGCTGAATTGTTCTGTAACAAAGTTATGTAAAAGAAAAATAAATTTTTTTTTCTTTGGTTTTTAAGATTCTGAACTCACAAAGGTTGCAGTTTTATAACCAGTCACTGGTGCTGAGGTAGAATCGCCTCTCTGGGCACTCCCTTAAGCCACATGCTGCTTCTCAGCCATCTGAAAGGGACAGAGCCCTGCCCCTCCCTTTCCCCCCAACAGCCGTGCATGAAGGGGAAAGGTCTCTACCTGCAAAGCCACCATCAGCTCTGAAAGAACTGAGCTGCCCTAAAGGACGTCTATGAAAACCACACTGCTCAGGTTGGATTTATTTAATATTCAATACAAAAAATACGCAGCTGATATCTGAAGTTCTACTTTGAGGCAGAGGAGCAGCGCGGATGTGATAGTCTTGAACCTGGCTTGCTGCTCCCCGGGTACCCGCACACGCAGTTGCAGTGAAAGTGTCTTCCCAGAGAGTGTTTTCCACCCGTGACCTTCCTTCCTTTGCTTCGCCTGCTGGGAAAGTCACTCCTCCTCCTCCTGCCACTGGTGTGCTCTGGCTCCCAGTCAGCCAGGAGAGGATTTGTTTTGTTTGGCTACCGCCTTTCGAAGCCCAACCTGTGTGCTGGGGTGGTTCTGTGGGGGGTGAGGAGGCTGGAAGGGGAACTCCCCCAGTTCAAGTCTGCAACTGGTTATGGCATACTGATTGAATAACAGGAAAGACTCACAACTTCTACAGGGGGGAGGATGCAGACAGGAGCCGCCATCAGGTCCAGAGAGGGGGCTTCCCCCCCATTATGGACAGGTCAATGTCCCCAAGGAGAACCAAAAATAAAAATGAACAAACAAATGAAAAATAAAAATGCCCTGACCCAACAAATCAATAGTTCAATATGTCATAATCTCAAGGTCTTCCCACATGATATGAATCCAATGCAACTTCCACAAATTAGATTTTTCCAGGCAGCGGAGGCAGGGCCCCTGGCATTCCACCCGAGAGCCCTGTGTTGGGTCCGAGGAGGATCTGGAAGGAAAACGGTCAAGTGAGGGGCTGCGAGGACACGGGACAGCTGCTGCACACTGCCATGCCCTCCCACAGCTACTCGGTGGGACGCCGAAGGTATGAGCAGTGTTTAACAGTTCCTCGCCCACTATGACACCCAAGTTTTAACACCTGACCATACCAAAGGCAAACGGGGCAGGTGTTAAGCCTGCATGCGGTTCTTGCTGTGTATGTCGGCCCAATGAAAGCTGGCCTGTGTTTGTCACCAGCCCGTTACCTGGAGTCGGCAAGATCATCCCACTGGAAAACCCAACCAGAACATCTGGTGGGATGAAGGAGACCAACAATGTATAACAGACAGGAGAGAGGGCTGGGGTGTTCCTGCCTCACCTGTCGCTGCTGCAGCTGCTGCTGTTGCTCCATCTGCAGTTTTTCAGTTTCAAAGACGACAGGAAGAACCAGAATCATGAAGGAGGTGGTCCCAATCCACAGAGCTGCCCTGGAGAATCTAGGGAAGAGAAAGCACATGAGAAATAGGAACTGGTTCCTCACCTGCTGCTTACAGGCGCTGAGCTTCCCCCTTGTTTCCTTTCCGTGCCTCTGACACAGGCCTTCCCCCAGCACCACCGGGACCCGCTCCCGACCGCC